TTCTACCTATGGGCTTCTTTTATTTTTTTATAGACTTCCTTCCTCCGAGAGGGGTCCAATCCAGGATCACCCATTGCCTTCAGTCGTTACATCTCTTTACTTTCCTCTAGGCTAGAGCTATTCTTCAGTTTTTCTTGACTTTGGGTTCAGGTCAGAGATTTTATAGAATGCCCCTCAAAGTATTTTCCCTGCTACTTCCCCATGATTGGAATCGGGTTGTGCATTTCGGTCGGGAACATCACAGAAGTGATGCTGGGTTCTTAGTGCATCTTCTTGGGAGGCCCACGATGTCGGTATGGCCCCAGCATCACGGATGCTAACTCTGAGCGCGTGATTAAGGGGGTGGCGACTGGACTTCTCCTCTGTACGGTGCTGTCATTTCTTTTGTAATTCATAAGTAATCTGTGGGGGCGCCACATAGAGGCGCTGGAAGTACAGAGCCTCTTCAGTGGCTGTACCGCGGGGTTTTCTGCATCGCAGGGTTTTCCACAGCCGCTTTCTCCCCATGACTTATGTGGATTGTTCGTTCTGCTACTGTGGCCTTGTTCCCTGACTCCCAGCCTCTCGGGTGCATCTCTCAGTCCAGGTCTCCCTTCTGGCTTCAGTCCCAAAGCCCCGTCCACCTGCTGGACGTCTGCCTGGGAGTCCCATAGACCCTAGGGCTCAGCATGTCCAAAGCCGACCTCACTGTATTCCCTGCACCCAAACAAACCCCAGTCCCTGTATCAGTGAGCAGCATCATGACCACCCAGTTTCCAAGGTGGGCGCCTCCTGGTCATCCTAGACCCTCACCAACCTTGGTTCTGGTCCAAAGCCCAAGCTTGGTCACGATGGAGCTCACATGAGAAATAAGGAGAGTAGGAAGGGAGGGAAAGGGAAGAGAAATAAGCCGTATGGCCATACATCTGCTCCCAAATGAGGCTCCGTCCTTGCTTGAGTAATAACAAAATCTCCAGTCATTCCATCCGGAGGAACTTCCCACCAGTTACCTAAACCACCTCCACAAAGGCCAGCTCAGATGGTCTCATCCCCAGTCCTCCAAAACCAGCTCGAGGTCCTGGAAAAATACAAGTCTATGGCCTGACCGTCGTGTGCAGAGCCACCCCAGGGAGGAGAGAAACGAGCCCAGCCCCACCCCAGCCACCGCCATCCAGTCCCTGCCTGGCAACCATCCGGGGCCTCTGAGTTCTCCCAGGAGTGACTCTTGGGCTCCAGCACTGAGCCATTAGTGAAGAAATGATCGCAGGCAGCGTGAACAGGCCTGGCCCAGGAAACCCTGGCCTCCCTAAGACTCGCTGGTGCCCCCAGGGAAATGCAGTGGGCCCCCGACACAGCCCCCTCCTTCCAGGAAGAGGAAGCCAGCCAGCAGGGGGTGCTGCAGCCCATCAGAGGGCCCTCAGGGACCAGACAAGTTGCTAGTGAGGGCTTCCTCCTGGAGGCCTGGGGACCGCCCTGCCTTGGATTGTCAGAGAAAAGCTGGCCCCTGCCTGTCACTCTTGGTGCTGGCCTGGAAGTATCTTCGTGCCGACACACGAGCCCCAGCCCACTCCCAGGAAAGCCCCTGACAGCCCCAGGGGTGCCCCAGTGTGACTTCCACACATGGGGCCCCAGGACAGGCTGGGAACAGATCCAACAGACCCAGGCTGGCTGACAACTTGAGCCCAGGGTGACCTTCATTGTTGGCATTGTTGCGGAGCTGTTTCTTGTGAGAACACCATGCAGGATGGTGGGCGGAGCCTGGGCAGGGGACGGCACTGGTGAAAGGTCCTCCAAGGAACAGATGTAGGGACCCCCCCCCCCCCCAGAGCACAGGAAGGCCACAGGGAGGAGAACTGAAATCTGGGCCCGCACGTTGTTCTCAGGGCCATTCGGTGGAGCAGCTAGACAGTGAGGACAGTCACCGACAGATGGCATCTGCGTGGTTACACCACAGGCACCAAAGCAGAGAAGCAGATGGTCAGAGGCACGGGAGGGAGGGGAAGGACTATTTCATTCATTATTTCATTCACTCGGCACATATCTGTTGGACACCGCTGAGAATAGGGCAATGAACAAAATTAATGTGGACTGTGCCTCCGAGGAGTCAAGGGGGAGCATAGAATGGACTCAGCAATCCAAAGGAAAGGTCCTGGGGCTATGAAAATGTGTAATAGGACTGTTTTGGTCTATGGCAGGGAAGGTCCCCCCCCCCCCCGAGGAAGCCACTCACAATCTGAAATTGGAGTGATTGGTAGGAGTTGACCAGGTGCATTGGAGAAAGGAGGGAAATTAATATTTCAGACAGAGGGATAGCCTGTGCAAAGGCCCTGTGGCAGGAGGATGTGAGGGCTTTTGAGGGGCCAAGAGCTGGCATTTAAGGAGGGCAGTGCTTTTTTTTTCTGTTGGGCCTGGGGAGATTGATGGTGCCCGATCCGAGGCACCTGGCAGATGGGGGACCTTGTGGGGCCAAATGAGCTACCTGTCGGCCCCTGTATCCATCAGCTAGAGGAGGAAGCGAGTGAGCATTTATTGAGCAGTGCATGCATTGCCTCATTTGCCCTTATGACTTTGGTGGGCAAGTATCATTCCCCCTTTTCCCCAACAGACGAAGGTACCGAGCTCAGAGAGGCTAAATGACCTGTCCTAGGTTACACAGCTAAGGCGCCAGAGAGCCAGGGTAGAACCCAGGACTCCAAACCGTTTCTTGTCCTCACATCGCTTTTTTTTCATCAATGGTAGAAGATGCTAGAAGATTAGGTCCCGCTTACCATGATAAACTCATCTTGCCTGAACTCCTCAAAACTCCAGGGTCTCAGATTCCTCTGAGATCCTGAAAGACCCCAAGCATTTAGCTGTCCGGTGTTACATGTCTGTTTCCTCCCCACCACCGTGTGCTGCCCCCACCCTCTGCCTCTATACGCTTGGGGGTTGGGGGCTCATCCCTTCCTGAGGAAGGCTCTTCTCTCTTTGGAGAGTTCTAATTGGGTGGAACACACGTAGTTCCTTTCTGTGGGGGAAACTGAGGCACAGAGCAGCTCCCGGATCTGGAAAGAGCTGAGATGGTCACCTTCTTTGCTGATTTCTTGAAAGGTTGTTCATGCCTCTGTGTGTGTGTGTGTGTGTGTGTGTGTGTGTTGTGTTCTAAGCATTTGAGGGTCATATTAAAACATGTCGAGCTCTAAATGAACAGCCACTGGGCAGGCAATGGGAGTCTTTTGAAAAAGACCACCCCTTGTCAACACTTGTAAATGCAAATGGACTTTAGACCTTCAGAGGTTTTCCCCAGAGGATAATGGCCAAGACACCGCGCCTCACTTCAGTAAGCAAAGGGTTAACTCTGAGAATGTAGGTGCAAACAAAAGGACCCTGTAAACAGATCCCCTGTTTGGGAGACCATTAATCGTAGGTTTTCAATTTGGTGTAAAGCTAGGCTAGAGTGAGCCTGTGGCGTGTGGTTGTTGCTCTCTCTTTCTCCCCGACGGGTCAGGGATTTGGAATCGGGCAGCGTCAACATGACATGTCAAGGAGTCAAGTAAGAGTCCACACAGGCTGAGGCAGCCCCACGTGACCCAAGCAGGTGGGCAAGAGCATGCACCAGCCCAGTGTGACCCAGCCTGGCGGCCCTGGGAACTCACGCTCACTCAGGTGCTCAGGCGACTTAACCATCGTGATTCCCCGCACCCAGGGGTGCCTCTCTGCCATGTAGGTTATAAGGAGTCTGCTTTTACTAAATCAGTGTCAAAGGACTTTGGGGAGGGAGGACATTTGAGGCTGGTGGCATAGGATTCAGTGTAATCAGCCTGGAGGAGATCGCTGGGGCTGGAGAGCAGGTGAGGTGACTCAGGTATGCGAGCTAGGGAGTCAGAAGTGCTCGGGTCAGAACTGCTCAGGGACATGTGCATTGAGCAATGCTTCCTCACCACCACCAGTTATCATCACCTTCAGTATCTTCACCACCGCCACCATCACCACCAACACTGTCATCATCATCGTCACCACCGTCACCACCATCACCACCACCGTCATCATCCTCGCCATTGTCGTTACTGTTACCACCACCATCATCACCTTCATCGTCATCACTGTCATGGCCATCACCATCGCCCTCACCCTCATCATCATAATCATCCACACCATCATCATCATCATCACCTTCATCATCACTTACTTGACTTTGGGGGCCCTGGAGAGTCAAACTTTGACTCCTCGGGGAGTCCACAGACATAGTCTACAATAATAGTTCTACTAATCAAAGCTTCTCTACTTTTAAGCTGGTGTATACATAAATATACATTGCTATGAGTCCTCACCACAGATGGGGGCGGGTGTTTGATCCCCCTTTATCAGAGAAGGAAACAGGCTGGGAGAGGTCATTGACTCTCCCCCCGGGCACGCAGATACCGTGTGACAGAGTCTGCACTGGGACCTAGTCAGCCTGGCTCCTCAGAGTTAGGCCCCTGCCCTGCACCATGTTGTGTTTTGGCCAGGGGGCCTCTCCTTTCCCGACTGGCCAGCACTTGGCTCTGCACCCCTTGGTGGGGAGGACATCCCATGAGGCCACAACCTCACCGGTCCCTCTAGAATTTCAGAAATGTTCTTTGCCCACTTTCGTGGACCCTGGGACCAAGAAATTCACTAGCCATTCGGACCTGGGAGTCTGGCCCTCAGGTGATTGGTGGTGTGGAGGATGAAGAGGGTGGTAGTGGAGGAGGAGGAGGGAGAGGAGGAGGGAGAGGAGGAGTGAGAGGAGGAGGGAGTGATGATGAAGAGTGTCCTGTAATCCTCAGAACAACTCTGTCAGGTAGGTACCATCGTTACCCCTGCTTAGAGATGACAGGTTTGAACTTTGGAGATACTGAGTGACCCACTCAAGATTTATGACCAGAGATCTCAGTTCCTGGCAAAACTGGCCTTGGCCCCACTTGACAGTCGGGAAGACTGAGACCCAGACGGACGCGCTGCTTGCCGTCCCCTCGGCTCAGGGCCCCCGAGCGCGCTCACACTCTGCTTTGGTTCTGCAGAGCCCGTGGCGGCGGCGGCGGTGGCGAGGACTGGGCCCCCTCTTCTGGAAGGTGTGCCGCGCGGCGCTCCCCCTGCAGCTGCTGTTGCTGCTGCTGCTGCTGTTGCTGTTACTGCTCCCGGTGGGGGAAGAGAGCCGCAGCTGCTCGCTGGCCAACAACTTCGCCCGCTCCTTCACGCTCATGCTCCGCTACGATGGCCCCCCGCCCACCTAACCCGCGGGGGCGCACAGGTGACGCCCTCCTCCAACCCTCGTCAGCCCCAGGGCTCCGAGGGGACCCAGGAAACTGGAAACAGAAGCAGGCAGCAAGCCGGCACCGCCGCGTCGGTGTAAATACTGTATGGACCTCCCCCGAACAAAACCACTTTTTATACGGTGTCTTCTTAGTCTGTTTATACTAAAGGTGTCCCGTGTCCGACGAGGCAACGATGTATCAATTTGTGTATCCTCTGTATGTAGATGCGCTCAGTATGTATCGTTTCATGTATGAACTCTGTTTGTAGGTGGGACAGTTCCTAGCAGTTTGTGTGGGGGGAGGGGGATTTTGTGGCCTTGTTGCCTCTGGGCAACCCCCCCACGCCCCCGCCAGGAAAGCAGGAACAGAAACATGTCACTTTTATGGAAACCGCTTAGCGGGAGGCCACGCCCCACCCCCAGATGCTTTCATAGGAGAGAAACCCCTGCCCCTGCTCAGCCCAGTCGCTCTCGCTTTAGGCACAGTGAGAAACGACAGCGGGTTCGATGCTGCGGGTCAGAAGTGTAACGGTGAGGCTCGCAGGCAGGCCTGGTGATGGCAGGGAGAAGTGATGGTGATAGCGTGAGATCAAGGAAGGAAAAGAAGAATGACAATGGGCAGGACCCAGGACTATACCAGCTCACAGATTTGAGGGCACCCTGAGGAGGGGCCGGGCTGAGGGTGCGAAACCGCCCCCCTGCCCCGACTCTGATAGCCCAGAGCAATGGCGTGGGCCATGGCCATGACCCTGGTCTGCAGGCCTGGTTAGCTCATGCCCCCTGGTCAAGGAGGAAGGAAGGACGGCAACCTCATCACTAAGGTCTTCACGCAGAATGGGGAGCCCGCGGTGCTGGGGAAGTGTGTACTTCTGTCACCCTTGGGCTGTTTTCCACTGTCTCGAGCTGAAGGGTCAGAGGGGAGCACCTGGCACCCCAGGGACCAGGGATCGAGGGTCCAAGACAGAGATGAGAGGTGGGGCTTGGAGCCCAGCCTGTCTAGGCGTCTCTGCCTCTTCCTCCCCCGAGAACAGACTTCACAGGGACGTGGGTCTTCTGGGCTGAGAGCGTCCCACAACTGTCCTCACAAGGGGACCCAAACGAGGCTGTCTCTGGGCAGGGCCAGGCAGTTAAGCTCCATGTGCGCCCTGGAGACGGGCCCCGCAGACTCTGTGCGGGGCCCTGAGCCCAGACACATGTCCCTTCCTCCTAAGTGCATTATAACTGGATGATCATGTTTCCCCTAAATCAACAAACACTGAGTTTCCTTTTGGAAAACACCAGGTGCCCCCGCTTTACAAACTGATTTTGTCTGCCCACCTACAACTAGTAGACCAAGAGGGGACCCTGCAGGCCTTTGGAATCATGAAGTGTCCAGGCTCAGAAAGGCCCTGTAAAGAGGGAAACTGAGGTCCCAGGAGGGCTCTGACTGCTGGCACCAAGCCCCACCCCACCGCATTCCAGCACACACAGCACCCCCCCCTCCAGTGACCCAGGCCCCCCGACTGGGCTGAGCCGGACATTCCCAGGGCAGGAAAACGCAGCTGCGCAGAGTTCTTGGTTCCCACTCAGAAAGCACACTTTTCTCCAGATACTAGGAAACTGAGGTCTCTGCAGGTGACCAGTGTCCTGAGAAATCTGGGCTGGAGCCCAGGCCTCGGGCCACTTGGGTGAGGCCAGGTGCTCCCAGGACCCGCGCTGGAAGGTCAGACTGTGGCGGGGCCTTGGAGCATCTCCTACTCTCCCACTTCGCAGGCGAGGAGGCTGAGGCCCAGAGAGGGGGAGGAACTTACCCAAGACCGCACAGCAAGAGGCAGGAAAGCCAGCGCGAGCTGGGCGTCTCGATGCCCAGGCTCCCTGTAGGGTGACCCTTCATGTCGGTAGCTGTGCCGCCTGGAGCCCCCGCCCCGGGCAGAAGGCCGGGGGTGGGACGGTCTGTACAAAGTATTTTTTAAACTTTGATAATGAGGCCATAGAGCCTGCTTGTTTGCATAACTTTTTAAAAAAAAGAGAATGGATATTTTCATTATTTTCATATAAATACAGTTGTGAAATAGCAACCCGCTCACTGGTGCTTTTCAAGTGTAATCTCTTCTGCTCAAAGTGGATGCGGACAGTTAGCATTTGTACGACTTTCTAGCTTCCTGAACAACCACAGAGAGGTTTGAGGTGCCGTTTGGGAAGGTGCCCGGTGGGGCCTGCGTGTGTCTGTTTTCCCGCCATCCCCAGAGTGAGAGTCACGGAGAGAAATGTGCAGATCACAGCCGGGCCCAGCTCGTGTGTGTGTGTGTGTGTGTGTGTGTGTGTGTGTGTGTGTGTGAGAGAGAGAGAGACAGACAGACAGACAGACAGACAGAAGAAGAGAGGGAGAGAAGGAAGGAGGGGGTATGGGAGGGAGGAGCAGAGGGAGAAGAGGGGAGGGGAGGCGAGAAGAAAGGATGAGGAGGAGAGGGGCGGGAAGTGGGGTGAGGGCAGAGGAGAAGGAGGAGAAGAAGAGGGGGGAGGAGGGGGAAGGGGAGAGGAGGGGGGGAAGAGGAAAACACAGCGAGTATGATCAAGGTGCTGCTTACCTTCCTCAGCGGCCTCCCGCCCCCGCCCTTTCTCTTAGTCTGACCTCCATGCGAACAAGCACATGCAGGACCCAAGGGTGTTTATAAGGAAGCCAAACGACGGGTAGGATGTGCCGGTGTGGATGGCAGAGGAGGCTCAGTGACTCAGGGAGGAGCAGAGGGGACAGTGGCATCAAAAACAAGAGTGCCTCCCATTTGGTGCCCGGACCCCGTGTAAGCACCGGAGAAGCCATATGTCATTTAACCCCCACGACAGCCCTCAGGGTGATGCATGAGCTTTGCCTCCATTCTCCAGGTGGGCAAGCTGAGACCTAAAGACAGATACTTGCCTGTGCAGAAGTGGGATTTGAACCCGGGTCTGCCCTGTGCCCATCAGCGCTCCCAGAGCGGGGCAGACCCAATGTCACAGAAGCTGGGATGGCCCAGGACATGGTCCACTTGGATCTTGCTGTCGCTTGGGGGTCACCATGCACTGTGAGCCCAGCTGTGCGGAAGGGCAGATCGGGGCGGCAGGCAGGGTGAGGAGAGGGCGTCGGCATGGCAGAAGGAGCTGGGAGGAGGAACCGGGATGGGCTCAGGACTGAGGGGTGGTCTCTTAGGCTGTGCTATTATCTTGGAGGGGCTTCTAGAAGCTTCTGGTGAGGCCCAAGGCTAAGGGCAGGGACGTGCAAGCCCTCAAATGCTGCATGTTTATTATTTCTGTTACTGGCACAATTATTCGTCTGCAGCCACGGGTCATGGTAAAAAATTTGTGGTTGGAAATACCAAACTGAAAAGCCCACTTTTCCCCACTGGAGATTTTCTGGCTTCCTAGTGTGCATTCCAGCAATCAGTTTAGCCAAGAATTAGGATAACCATGCCCTTCCCCACCTCCCACCCATGGTGAGTCCACGGAGCAGGGGCACTGAGCAGTGCCCTGTGGGAGGCTGTGCCTGGGGGTGAGGGGGCTGGGGAGGGGTCCTGTGTGTTCTGAGTTCTGAGATGCCCACAGCTTACTTTGAGCCTGGAGCGGCTCTCGCTGGTGGTGCCACGGTAGCGTCCAGTGAGTCTCTTGTATCCCTGGCCCAGCCGGGACTGTGCCCCGATTCTTCCTTTCAAGGGACCTCAGCTGCTCGGGCGGGCCTCCCCAACCCTGCTCCTGTCACCCAGTCTGATCGCCACCAGGCGATGCAGGGGAGGTGGCAAGGTCATGAGCTGTGAGCTCAGCACCGGCCCAGCACTAAACACATGGGCACCTATGCTCCTCTTACTGCATCCCCGGCAGACATTGCTAGTTGATCACCGAGTTCTTCCCCTCCCCCTGTCTGGCCTGCATGGACCTCACAGTCCTTCTGGAAACCACCCAGGCAGCTGCCACCAATCAATCCTATTTGTTATGTGAGAAAAACCCATTTGACCTCCTTGTCCCCAGTTCCAGCCCTCTCAGAAATCTCTTAATTCTGGTCTCCACCCCCCCCCCCTTTTTTTCACTTTAAAATTAGGATGTTCCCAGGGTTCCTGGATGGCTCATCTGGTTGAGTGTCTGACTCTTGGTTTTGGGTCAGGTCATGATCTCACAATTCATGAGATCAAGCCCCGCATGGGGCTCTGTGCTGACAGCTCGGAGCCTGCTTGGGATTCTCTCCCCCATCTCTCTCACTCTCTCAAAAATCAATAAACTTAAAAAATTATTAACAGTAAAATAAAATTAAGATGTTTCCCATAAAAAATCACCCTCCTTAGTTTAGTCTATGGGAGATACAAATTAACTCCTGAAAACAGATCAGGGACTCTCTGACCCTCCCCGATCACATGGTCTCTATCTCTCAGAAATAAATTTTAAAAATTTAAAAAAATAAATAAAATAAATTACATGAGTATTTTTAGGCTGTCAGAGGTGGGAGGGCTTTTATGGACTCTCTTATTCCAACCTGTGCCCATTTTACAGATGAGGAAACTGAGTTCCCAACAGCTGCTGTTCACCCAGTGCCGCAGGGAGTGAGTTAGTTCCAGAGGTGGGGAGAGGTCTCACTGCATCAGGTGACAGAGTGCTCAGCGCTGGACAGGGTGCAGAGGGGGTTCTGCTGTTAACAGCCCGGTGACCTTGGGTGAATGCCCTGCCACTGGACTTGCGACCACAAAAGGGGAAGTTAGCCCTGGAATCCCTTGTGCCGCTTGAGATGTGAGCTGCTCTCGGAAGATGGTGATGGGCTCCTGTGTGGAGGGAACTCTCTAGATTCAGCCCCACTTACTGGAATCCCTCCTCCCACCAACTTTGACTAAACGACCAGGGGCTTTGCGTTTCCTTCATCCTGAGAGATCTAGAGCCAGTCAGGTGTTGGCATCCTTCACTCAGCTCAAGGGTGTCAGAGCCAAGGTGTCTGCAGCTCCCTCCCTTCCCTCGAGGTGACCTCATGGCCCTAGGTGGTTGCACAACCTCCCAGGTCACGTCTGGGTTCCAGGCAGGGAGAGGGTGAACGAGCTAGCTGAACCGCCTTGCTTTTTGGAAGCGCTCCCAGAGGCCCCGCCCAGAGACTTCTGCTGTCCCCTCATTGGCCAGACTGCGTCACGTGGTGCCTTTACCTGGGCAAGACCGCCCCGCCCCCCCACAGCGCGGGCAGGTCTTAGCGAGGAGGAAGATGGAGTGGATTGA